ACACTACTGTCAATACATGGTAACATAATGCATACCATAAAGCAACTTGCCCTTGAGGAAAATGTTGTAATGTTGTATTTCAGGCCCCACAAGGTGACAATGCATATTCATCACATCACTACAAATCTCTTCATTTGCAATATTGACCTCTGGAATTATTATTTCAGCTCCTAAAATACCCCAGCTTTCAGAAAAGCCACACTCCCCTCTCCATTTCACTTAGGCCCCGTTCACATTACATGCTTTGAAATTGCCAGCAGAATCGCTACATTTCTGTCCACGATTCCAAATCGCAGCAAAAATGTGCGATGCGTGTTTGGATGTCATTATCCTAATAACACCCCAAACGCAGTGCGATTCTGACACGGTTGTCATGCAACAGAGTCACGCAGCAATCATGGCAAAATTGGCATTTAAAATTTGAGCTGAACTTGTAGCCCAGAAAGGAGCAGAAGCTTCATTTGGGCAACAAAAGCGCATAGTGCAGTTCATTGAAATTATTTGGCTGCCCTAGATGCAACAAAAGAAAACAACAACACGTGAAAATCCTGCTTGTTCCTGCTATGCGATATGTGAACGGGGCCTTAAAGTGTATTTCCCCTTTTGCAGCCAAATTGGGATAATACCGTACATACTTTATATTTGTTACCTGTCTCCTATCTTAGCTAGCTAGCATAACTTACAAAAAATATTTAAAAATTGCTGTTTTCATTTAACCACTTCAATACCGGGTGATTATACCCCCTTCCTGCCCAGACCAATTTTCAGCATTCAGGGCTGTCGCACTTTGAATGACAATTGCGCAGTCATGCAACACTGTACAGATATGAAAATTTTTATAATTTTTTTTTTTCACATAAATAGAGCTTTCTTTTGGTGGTATTTAATCACCACTGAGTTTTTTTTTTTTGCTAAATAAAACAAAAAACACTTGAAACTTTTGAAAAAAAAACACTTTTCTTCGTTTTTCTGTTATAACATTTTGCAAAATAAATAAAATATTTTTCATAAATTTAGGTTAAAATGTATTCTGCTCCATTTCTTTTGTGAAAATAATAATAATAATAATTTAATTTTTTTATCAAATGTTTCTATTTTTTTTTCTTTTTTTATGAATTTTATTTTATTTTTCAGCACACCGTAACCGTAACCACACCGTAACCAAAGCAATACAATCTTACCATAGTAACATTGAACTTCTCTGGGCAAGTGATCAGGATTTTTTTTTTTTTAACACATTATGATTGCCAATACCAATGTATTTAATTGATATTTGCAATCATTGTTACTGAATGAAACTGATTAATTCAGTCTTCTGTTGTGATTAGCTGTGATTGGGCAAAGCTGATCACATGATACAGATGGGCTGTGATTGGCCCTGTCTGTATCATGTGACTGCCTTGACCAGTCACAGCTAACAACATAATTGTATACAATGGATGGAATGACAGGAAGCCATATATTGTATACAATGTGATCTTTTGTGATTGGTTACAGCAGTCACATGACACTGGCAATGGGCCACTGTGGTGATATGTGATCGGCAGTGTCCTGTGGTGACAGATCACGCCGCTGCACAGGCCCACAGCCACGTGAGCTGCTCGTTTTGACAGGACGTCACAACGGCGAGTGTACCTCCTAGCCGTCAATCTGCTATAGTCCGGGCGGGAAGGTGTTAACTTTCACTTTTTTGAAAAACAATAAAAAAAATTAATATTTCCTATTTTTTGCAAATGCGTGTACTCTGTACTTGTGTTTACAATAGCACTGCCATATACACCAGTACAGCAGTGCACAGCCACTCATGTTAATGATAGCTTGGAAATATACTGGACAATGTGTTGAATGACCTCAGGTGGCAAGGCAGGCTGTGCAAGAGCTCTTTGAAAAAAATAAAAATCAATTTGTCAAGTATCACAGTAAATACATATATATATATATAGTACTGTATATATACTGTGTATATATATTACTGTATATTGAGAGAGAGAGAGACAGAGAGAACACTACCCCAGCAGGGGCCACTTGCTGATATTTGTCCCCAGTGGTTGCCCTGACCTTGCAAGCCTCCATCACCTCTGATAACTCTGGGTTCAGACATATTTCAACAGGATAGAATAATAATGCAAGAGACACATTTCTTAGCAACACTTCTATATTAGGCTCGTTCAAAAGAGCAGACCGCAAGAATAATGGGTTTAGGATATGCAACCCCAGTTAATGCATTAAAAATAGAACACTGTCAAACAGGAATAATTAATTAGCAATGTTAAACAAATTATACAGACATGAATAGTAAGCTTCAATTATAAAACTGCAACACCAACAGTAAGAGGGGAAATAAAAGGCTTTTTGACCTATCCGCTCGCTCTAGTCCACCTGTGCCGCAATGATGGATACAGAGAATTATGCAAAAGTATTCTCTGACATAAATAGATAGAAATATCCTAATTTGAATAACAATGGACTTAGAAGAGAGGCTGCAATGTTTAAAGTTCTTGATATGGTGGGGTCTGTTTTCTTCTGCTAGCAATGGTGGGACCCATAAAGAGTAGTGAATACTGGTAATTCAATGAGTTTAAATAGATGGATTGTGATACTACTCAAAGCAAAGGTCTTCTGATACTGAGGTGTAAAGGTGCCTGCATGCAGTGTCTGTAGAGTGATGACAAAAAGATCTCGGGCATCCACCTGCTCACCAGTCTAATGGATAGCACAGCATGCTAGCAACAAGAGGTCTTGCACAGGCTCTTGGCTGTTCCAGTGATGTGCAAAGTTGCTGACTGACAGCCTGTCAGTGCAGAAAGTAGAGATGCCAGTGTGACAACCGGACAATAACAGTCCCAATGTAGAGAAGCTGATGCGATCCTGGTGTGGTGATCTGCATCACCGCTGTGCTAAAGTGATGTGCAGAGTCCTACAACAGTAAGCTAACAGTCTGTCTCTGGAGGAGAACAGCAGTCCCCCTGTATTCAGCTCTGAATCCCATGCCATGAGATTGAGCCAGTCCCCCGCTGCAGAACACATCTGCCCCCCTAGCATTCCTCTGGCTCCCAGCTCCCTGGTAGCTGCAGCTCAATCAGCACCCAGAAACAAAGCATGCACTGGCCACAAGACTACAGGTCCCAAGATCCTTCACTGCCAGAAGAACTGGATCCACTCTGCCAACAGGAGCTGCAGCAGTCCCAATACTGGGCACAGGGGGAAAAGGATCAATTACAGTCTCATCTGCAAATGTCCAAAAGGCACAATGGCATAGCTGGCACCTGGCTACATCTATATATATGTATACAGTCAACTGTCTTTTCACTTTTTTCTTAGTAGTTAAAAATAGTAGTTACTTTTTTCTACAAACTCTCATTATATTACTGATAATGTATATTATACCTGTCATGTGTAAAATAGTACTATTTAATATAGGTGCAGTATTTATATAGTGCAAAAACGTACACAGCACCTTACATATATATTGTACATTGACATCAGTCCCTGCCCTTATGGAGCTTACAACCTAACTCACATTCATGGGTACACTTACAAGGGCCAATTTAGACAGGAGCCAATTAACCTTCTGATTGGGAAACTGCAAATTACAACTACTATATTGCCAAAAGTATTGGGACACCTGCCTTTATACGTGCATGAACTTTAATGGCATCCCAGTCTTAGTCTGTAGGGTTCAATATTGAGTTGGGCCACCCTTTGCAGCTATAACAGCTTCAACTCTTCTGGGAAGGCTGTCCACAAGGTTTAGGAGTGTGTCTATGGGAATGTTTGACCATTCTTCCAGAAGCACATTTGTGAGGTCAGACGAAAAAGGCCTGGCTCACAGTCTCCGCTCTAATGCATCCGAAAGATGTTCTATCGTGTTGAGGTCAGGACAGTCAAATTCCTCCACCCCAAAACTCGCTCATCCATGTCTTTATGGACCTTGCTTTGTGCACTGGTGCGCATTCATGTAGGAACAGGAAGGGACATCCCCGAACTGTTCCCACAAAATTGAGAGCATGAAATTGCCCAAAATGTCTTGGTATGCTGACACCTTAAGAGTTCCCTTCACTGGAACTAAGGGGCCAAGCCCAATCCCTGAAAATCAATCCCACACCATAATCCCCCCTCCACCAAACTTCACACTTGGCACAATGCAGTCAAGCAGATACCGTTCTCCTGGCAACCGCCAAACGCAAACACGATCATCAGATTTCTTGAATGGACTTATTGCACAGGTGGCAACCTATCATGGTACCAGGCATGAATTCACTGAGCTACCCATTCTTTTCAAATATTTGTAGAAGTCTGCATACCTAGGTGCTTGATTTTATACACATATGGCCATGGAGGTGATTGGAACACCGGAATCCAATGATTTGGAGGGGTGTCCTAATACTTTTGGCAATATAGTGTATTTCCTTATTAATTTTGTCCTCACAAATGTTTAAGAATGCCTCCAAACCTTAGCTAAAGGGCTATAAGAGGACAAAGTCTGATTACCTTAAATAACAAAGGATTGTGACTATGTGGACAAACCAGCCCACTCTCCTTTCAGGTCATCATGTTGTTTGAGGGGGGGGGGGGTGCTGGACATTCCCTACATACAAGTTCAGTATATACTATAACACACAGCTAGTCTGGAAATATTTAATTTCAACCCCAATGCTTGCAATCACGCATGTGTCTGTGATTACCTAGGCCACACCTTCATGGGGGGGGGGACTCTGTGGTGAAACAGCATCTTTAGTTAAGAATTCTTGTTATTTTTGTTATATTGTTATATTTAAATATTTCTTGTTATATAGCAAGAAATATTTATATTTCTTGTTATATTCTTTATCTGTATCTGTCATTACTTTTAATAAATGTTGTACTTAAAAGTATTTGTGTGATCTCTCTTTGCACTTATTGAATAAAAACCCCCAAAATGTAAAAAAAAACACCTTCCAACATGTCTTAGGGAGGAAACCTGAATAATCAGAGGAAAACCATGCAGATACAGAGAGAACATGCAACCTTCTGGCCAGGGGCGGACTGACAACTCATGGGGCCCCTGGGCAATAGGGGATCATGGGGCCCCTGTGTCCTTGCCCACACTCAAACCACACCCAAAAAAGCCTATAAAAAAGGTACCAGGGGCATCTCATGGGGCCCCTACTGACCCAGGGCATCTCATGGGGCCCCAAATGATCAGTCCGCCCCTGCTCCTGGCAGATATTGGGATTAGGTTGGGATTTAAACTGACAACCCTACTACTGCAAGGCATACTTTTGAGATCAGCTTGAGATGCTTCTGAAATCATTCAGAGTTTCTGCACAGATGCTTCCTATCACATACTGACCAACATTGGAGACCTTCTAAACTGCATCAGTATGTCTTAAGCTGCATTTTCTTTACTGATTGACCTATATGGGAAAAAAGTAGTTCTGATGCAAACAAAGGCATGTACATAAGCACTTATGTGACCTTGCCCCTCTTGCCTTCTGCTCTAGCTTTTATGCTGTAGGTTGTGCCTCAGAGGAGCAAAAATAACTTTTTAAGGAGAACAGACCACACCTTTCTGGTGTTTTTGACTGGGGCTTGTCATAAAACTCAGTATAGTTCCAAAGCTTGCCCACCCTTTACTGCCTCCTGAACATTCTGTTTGACTAGTGGGGTTATAAAATAAAGTTATAGGCTAATAGCAATGTGGGGAGACATGGTTTAGCTGCAAGTACCGACACTAACCTGACAAGCTGGAGTGCTGATCCTGAGAATGGCCTGGTATTCGGTCATGGTGGTAGAGTTTGGTAGGTTGTCTCTACATTCCTTTAAATTTGCAACAGTTTTGTTTTCCTTACCCAAAATAGTGTCTCTGGCTTGCTCTTTGACGGCTAGACTAATCTTGAAATTGGTTAATTTCCTTACGTTCTGTGGGTTTATGATCTTTTGGTGACTCATTTACTATTGTGCTCAAAAGTTTGCATACCTTAGCAGAAACCGCAAAATTTTGGCATTGATTTTGGAAATAAGACTGATCATGCCAAAAACTATCTTTTATTTAAGGATAGTGGTCATATTAAGCCATTTATTATCACATAGTTGTTTGGCTCCTTTTTAAATCATAATGATAACAAAAATCACCCAAATGGCCCGGATCAAAAATGTACATTTCTCAGACTTTTTGGCTTTGGTACAGACACACAAGGTGACACACCCATATAAAAATGGCAAGAACTTCCCACATCTATGGCTTTTTAAATATCAATTAGTGTCTGTATATAAATAGTCAATAAGTTTATTAGCTCTCACATGGATGCACTGAGCAGGCTAGATAATGAGCCGTGGGGAGCAGAAAGAACTGTCAAAAAGACCTACGTAACAAGGTGCTGGAACTTTATAAAGATAGAAAAGGCTATAAAAAGATATCCAAAACCTAGAATATGACCATCAGTACTGTTTAATCAGATATTAAGAAGTGGAAAATATGGGGATCTCTTGATACAAAGCCAAGGTCAGGTAGACCAAGAAAGATTGCAGCCACAACTGCCAGAAGAATTGTTCGAAAGAAGACCCACAGGTAACTTCAGAAGAAATACAGGTTGTTCCGGAAAAACAGTGTGGTTGTGACGGTGTGGTTGTGATGGTGTGGTTGTTTCAAGAAGCACAATACGACGATACTTGTACAAAAATGAGCTGCATGGTCAAGTTGACGGAAAGAAGCCTTTAGTGTGCCAATGCCACAAAAAAGCCCTAGTTACAATATGCCCAACAACACCTTGACACACCTCACAGCTTATGGCACACTGTAATCTGTAGTGATGAGACCAAAATAGAACTTTATGGTCACAACCATAAGCACTATGTTTGGAAAAGGGTTAACAAGGTCTATAGTGACATAAATACCATCACCACTGTGAGCATGGTGGTGGCTCAGTGATGGGCTTTTTTTTTTGCTATAAAGGCATGGAGAATCTTGTGATAATGAATAGCAAGCTTATTGAAGCATGGTATGAGAAACTACTGGCAGACAGTTTGCATTCTTCTGCATGAACGGTGTGCATGGGATGCTCTTGGACTTTCAAGCAGAGCAATGACCCTAAGCACAAGGCCAAGTTGACTCTCCAGTGGTTACAGCAGAAAAAGGTGAAGATTATGGAGTGGTCATCACACTCTCTTGACCTTAATATCATTGAGCCACCCTGGGGAGATCTCAAACGTGCGGTTCATGCAAGACAACCAAAGACTTTGCGTGACCTGCAGGCATGTTGCCAAGACAAATGGGCTGCTAATACTACCTGCAAGAATTCGAGGCTTCATAGACGACTTTTACAAAAGACTTCACACTGTCATTGATGCTAAAGGGGGCTAATACACAGTATTAAGAACTAAGGGTATTCAGAATTTTGAACAGGGGTCAGTTCAATTGTTTATTTGTTGACATGTTTTATTTTATGATTGTGCCATTCTGCTACAGTTGAATATGAATCCCTTAAGAAAAATAAATGTGTTTTGTATGCTCACTCATGTTTTCTTTAAAAAATGGTACATACAATACTGTATATTACCAATTCTCCAAAGATATGCAAACTTTTAAGCACAACTGTAATTAAAACCTGGTGCTTTTTTTCTAGTGGTAGAGGATATATTAAATTAACTGCTATGGATCCTCTCATGTACTATGCCACCATAGTTTCAAGAAACATTACCAGAGTAGTGCATAGATACACAAAAAATTGTAGGAAACCTATGCCGATTTAAGGGGGACCTTTTAACCAATCTGGGTAAAATTGATGAGCCAATTTCCAAAAACAAGACAAAAACAGTAAACCACAGTTATAATTAGCCAGAAAAATAAATGTCCAATTATGGCGTGATCATATATTCTGGGAAATAAATCCTAACTTTGCACTTTGATTATTTGGCAAATGCTGCCTCTCACTTTAAAAAAAAAACCTCCCATAGGTTAATACACAATATAATTTTGATTTTAAATGTTCAAAAAAGAAGGATTTAACAGGACAAGTGGTCAGTACTGAAAACCAAGAATATTTCCAGGGTCAGAAATTGCTTACTTTAGTTGGGAGGAGTGTCCTTCGAATGTTCTAAATACAGAAAGCAATGTCACATTTTAATTCACTAACCAGATATAGAGAACATACTGATTTGGAATGCAGTGCCCTCTAGTGATAAATTCAAATAACTTCATCTCAACAAATAGTAAATACAGAACATTTGACTTGTCCCATAGAATTTCCCAGCTATGAAAAACAGTTTGTTCGGAAGATAACAATAACTGATACCATCAATAAAGCTTCTACCTGCCCTCTGGAGACACAAAGACATACATACAGTATGTAATCTACCCTTTTTTGTGGATGGAGCTGTTAGTAGATCTATTGGTTGCAAGTGTGATGTCAGACAAGCACTTTTAACAGACCATCATTGTCACCTGTGTTTTAATATAGGTTACACAGTAATTACATACTCATAGACCTACAGTCAAGTTCATAAATATTGGGACATCAACACAATTCTAACATTTTTGGCTCTATACACCACAACAATGGATTTGAAATGAAATGAACAATATGTGCTTTAACTGCAGACTGTCAGCTTTAATTTGAGGGTATTTACATCCAAATCAGGTGAACGGTGTTGAAATTACAACAGTTTGCATATGTGCCTCCCACTTGTTAAGGGACCAAAAGTAATGGGACAATTGGCTTCTCACCTGTTCCATGGCCAGGTGTGTGATATTCCCTCATTATCCCAATTACAATGAGCAGATAAAAGGTCCAGAGTTCATTTCAAGTGTGCTATTTGCATTTGGAATCTGTTGCTGTCAACTCTCAAGATGAGATCCAAAGAGCTGTCACTATCAGTGAAGCAAGCCATCATTAGACTGAAAAAACAAAACAAACCCAACCCATCAGAGAGATAGCAAAAACATTAGGCATGGCCAAAACAACTGTTTGGAACATTCTTAAAAAGAAGGAACGCACGCCGGTGAGCTCTGCAACACCAAAAGACACGGAAGACCACGGAAAACAACTGTGATGGATGACCGAAAAATTCTTTCCCTGGTGAAGAAAACACCCTTCACAACAGTTGGCCAGATCAAGAACACTCTCCAGGAGGTAGGTGTATGTGTGTCAAAGTCAACAATCAAGAGAAGACTTCACCAGAGTGAATACAGAGGGTTCACCACAAGATGTAAACCATTGGTGAGCCTCAAAAACAGGAAGGCCAGATTAGAGTTTGCCAAACGACATCTAAAAAAGCCTTCACAGTTCTGGAACAACATCCTATGGATAGATGAGACCAAGATCAACTTGTACCAGAGTGATGGGAAGAGAAGAGTATGGAGAAGGAAAGGAACTGCTCATGATCCTAAGCATACCACCTCATCAGTGAAGCATGGAGGTGGTAGTGTCATGGCGTGGGCATGTATGGCTGCCAATGGAACTGGTTCTCTTGTATTTATTGATGATGTGACTGCTGACAAAAGCAGCAGGATGAATTCTGAAGTGTTTCGGGCAATATTATCTGCTCATATTCAGCCAAATGCTTCAGAACTCATTAGACGCCGCTTCACAGTGCAGATGGACAATGACCCAAAGCATACTGCAAAAGCAACCAAAGAGTTTTTTAAGGGAAAGAAGTGGAATGTTATGCAATGGCCAAGTCAATCACCTGACCTGAATCCGATTGAGCATGCATTTCACTTGCTGAAGACAAAACTGAAGGGAAAATGCCCCAAGAACAAGCAGGAACTGAAGACAGTTGCAGTAGAGGCCTGGCAGAGCATCACTAGGGATGAAACCCAGCGTCTGGTGATGTCTATGCGTTCCACACTTCAGGCTGTAATTGACTGCAAAGGATTTGCAACCAAGTATTAACCTCCTTGGCGGTATGATTCTTTCCGATTTTTGGTGCTGAAAGCGGTACCATTTTTTTGCATGGAAATATGTAGTTTTTTTATTGTAGGCCTGTAATTCTTAGGAATAACTCACTGAAATCTGTCCGAACAAGAGTCTAGTAAACATCCCGGGTAGGATAAAATTTGAAACACGTAATCATAAATTATAATTTAATAAATAATCATAAAAAATAATAATATAATAATAATACATTTAATTCAATAATATAATCAAACCAAAAACACTGAAATTTGAAATAGAGCGCCAAGTTAGCACATTGCTGAGCAAAGTCGCAAAATCGTTTTCAGTGTCTGATGACGAATTTCCCCACAAATCATTATCACTCAATTCTGCAAGTGGTTCTGATTTACTATCGCTGTTCTC